CACATGGCGGATTGCGCCTCCATCGCCACAGAGCGGAGCTTGCCATACGCCTTCCTCGTCATGGACCTCATCATCTCCGCCGACATCTCCATCGCCGGCCCGGATACGAAGATGACAAAGATTTGGATCATCCAAGACAGCACCTTCCGGAAGAAGTCCGGTGACGGAACCGGCGCTGGACCGAGTCGTGCCCGTGCCCGTGCCCCTGCCTCTGCTCCCGCCAAGGCGTCCTTACAGTCCATAGCCAATACTCTGAATCGGCTAACCCTCACAGTGGATGGCATGGGGCAGTCAATCGAGCGGATGGATTGGACGCTGCAACGTCAACACCATGACATGACAGCGTTCTTCTGTGGCATCAACTATGTCCCGCCGCCCTTTGACAGCACCATCCTCGGCCAGAACTATGAAGGCGAGGACGAGGAGGATGACTCCTATGCTCCGTCCTCCTCCCCCGACGAGGCCGATTTTGAGGACGCGGTCGATGGGGATCCCATGGACGTTGAGGATGACGAAGAAGACGATGACGCCGAAGACGAGGACGCCGCTGCCTAAACTCTTCTTCCTTTTCCATCCTTCCTATGATTGTTTTTTATTATTTCCATTCCGTTCTATTCCACATTTTCTCCTTTTTCATGAATAAAAGTTTACTTTTATACTCCAAAGTTCACTTTTAATTCTTTTTGTTAATGTCAAAAGGGGAAGATATCAAGGTTATGCATAAATTGAGGGGGAATTAATTATTTTAAATAAAATGGAATCTATTAAGGGGGAACACTTTTTTTAAAAATCTCAAAGACTTCCTCATATGCATAACCTAATCTCGTTTGCCATTATCAAAAGGGGGGGAATTGTTGAAACACGGGCATGTCACGTTTTCGTACTAAAGCCGTGTTTGTTTTTATGACAGGTTTTGATAATGCCAAACCGCCGTGATCAAGTCAAACTGTGAATATACAAGGCGAAGAAGGAAGACAAGAACAAGAGCTAAAAGAAGACCAAGAACGAAGACCTTAGTCTTAGTGTCGTTGAGTCGGTCTTCATTGTGATCAAGACAGACCCAATCTTTACACCTTGGCTCTTTAGTCTAAAAACCTTCATTGCACTTCTTAAATCATAAAAATGTTTTTCAAACATGTTTAAGTCATTAAAAACACTTGGTGTTCGCCCAAACCAAAAACCAAGCCATCCGGCGTTCGGGTTTCAGAAACTGGCGTTCGGCTCTCGGTTATCGGCTATGGTTTTTGGCGTCCGAACCAACCAAGTGGTTTTCAACTTTTTATGAT